TTAAAATATTGAACAAAAGTTCATTGTTATGGTTTGGTCATATTAAACGAATGGATCATGAGTGTATTGGAGTGAAGTTGAAGGTACGAGGAGAGAAAGGCACAGAAGGGTAAATTTGAGAGGAAATGAGATGTAAGTGTAAATAAGGGATGGTTGGGAGTAAGGCAATTGTTTTAAGAGTGATTGGTTTATATATAACTGGCAGGAAGGGAGACTGGAGGAAGGTGGAGTGCCCCCTCCTCCCACTATTGGCCCATCCGACGCATTAGGCTGTGAGTGCGGTCATTACAGCGTAATCCCCTGCAGTTGTTGTGATCCTTGTATGGGCTGTTTATGCTGATGAGTGGCCGGAAGCGCCTCTGCTCTACGTGTGCTCTGCATGTGTACTTACATAACTCTGCTTACATGATAAGAGGTGGCAGGGCCGAGCTTCAGCCCCTGGGCCTTCCCAACTTTCCGCATGACAGTCATTTAATTAGAACGATTCTCGACCGCTTTGTTTCATGTCATATTTGTTTTTTTAAACTATTGACTTTGTTAGCTCAAATTTCCCCACCTACTTCGCTTCACTGTCTTACTGTGCTTGCACTGAAGAAATGTTTTCTCACGTCCCTGTGGTTCTGTGCTTGTATAGACTCGATGAAAAGTTTGGTACTGTGTGTACTCATCTATTTATGCCTGGAGGATCCAGCATTAGCTCTTGGACCCCATCTTTCTAGCCACCAGTTGTGTAATGTAAGGAATTCTGACTTCTTTCCCTATAATATTACATTTAAAATTACGAATGGAATGTGCTGCTACAACCTGCTCCTTTAGTTAATTTTGTTTTCCACTCTCGCTAAAGGGAATCTTTCCAACATCTCTCTTGAATCATCCGAGTCAAGTCATCGGAGTGTGTTGCGTTTTCTCGCAGCACACTCGCTATCTTTTGTATGTCTTTGATGTAACTAACCTTCTTCTCTTGGGCTCATAAGATCTTGAACATCTGCTACTGAATCCGTGTAGAGTCGGGCTCTTCTGTATCTCTCCCACACGATCATGGGGAACTACAGAAGGCCTTATATTGGCACATGGATGGCACCTCATTCACTTCACACCACAATTATTCATATATTTGTCTGACCTACGCTAGAAACAGTCCGTCCATCATGCGTCAAACATGTTACCTGATATTTGTATCTGTAATCTTATACGCATTTTTCCAAACCAATATTTACCATTTTTTTTTTAATATAAACATACGAAGTTTGTTTCAGTTATTCTGTGTTTTATTTTGTTGCTATATTGAGCTCCTTTTTGTTGTACCAGTTACTTGTATGCTTCAGTCACGCCCACCAACAACAACATAATGTAAGTATGGTCTAAGAAGGGCTCAATAAAGATGTAGAATAACATTACATGTCTTATTGTCATTACTTCTTGTTAAGAATCTTAGTATCAAATGTATAATTTTTTTAACTACATAATTTTTTGAATTAAGATCTTTACTAATTCTTCTTTTTACACCCAGATTTATTCTGTTTTCATATTTGGCAATTTCATTATTGTCCAGCTGATATCTGTTAACACTTATCGTTTCCAACTTTTATTAGCATTAACTGCAGTCTTGCAGCGACTTCGAATCATCCGAATTTATTCCTTCTGCTTCGTCATAGGACAAACCCCCGGGGCACGCACTCATAACGGCGTCCCACACTGCTTGACTTCATTCATGCTTGCTTTGTTTCATTTGTAATTGCCATGCCCTAATCCCCCCTTACGATAATACCCTTTCTACCCCCATGCCATGTATCTCTTCCTTCCCAGTAAATCTTTCTTGGAGTACAGCTAAAGTTAAGGTATAGATTGTCAGAGTCTTTTAAACTGTCGACTGCGCTAAATATGCTGTAAAAGAATTAGTGTAAATTGCTTAAACTCAAGGGGCCAGATTCACGAAAGCAGTTACGCAAGCACTTACGAACCTGTACATCTTTTCTCAATCTTTGGTGACTTTGTTTACAATTATTAAAAGGTTAATGAGCTCCGAAGCACCAGGAGGCTGTTTATAACAATAACAACAGTTGATTGGGAAGTTTTCATGCTTGTGAAACTGTTTAATAAATGTAACCAAAGCCGTCAAAGATTGAGGAAAGATGTACACGTTCGTAAGTACTTGCGTAACTGCTTCGTGAATCTGGCCCAAGGGGTCCCCTAGTAAGGTCATAACGTGAATTCTTTATTAATCTGCGTTTTTCAAGATATACATTTGCAATTATTCAAGGAATTTTCTTGTAAAGCATTAAAGCTTTTTGTCCGACAACTCGTTGCAAATTGATCTTATTTTCCTATTCAAATACATTTAGAACCTCCACGATTCCGGCGCTCTGTTAGTCTCTGATTTTATTATGCAGGAGAAGAGCTTACCAAGATCACCTTTACATTTTTTATACCCTGGCAAACACTTCGTCTGTACTAGAGCATTTGCAGTTCTCTGTTCTGATGCGTGTCATCAGTTTTGCATCATTACTCCAGCTTGTTAAGTTTGTATCGATTCGTTGTGTGTGTGTGTGTGTGTGTGTGTGTGTACTCACCTAGTTGTACTCACCTAGTTGTGCTTGCGGGGGTTGAGCTCTGGCTCTTTGGTCCCGCCTTCAACTGGTGTACAGGTTCCTGAGCCTATTGGGCTCTATCATATCTACACTTGAAACTGTGAATGGAGTCAGCCTCCACCACATTGCTTCCTAATGCATTCCAATGTGTGTGTGTGTGTGTATTCACCTAGTTGTGCTTGCGGGGGTTGAACTCTGCTCTTTCGGCCCGCCTCTCAACTGTTTCTACTACTACTATTTTTTTTCTCTACACCACACACACGCACCCACCAGGAAGCAGGCCGTGACAGCTGACTAACTCCCAGGTACCTATTTACTGCTAGGTAACAGGGGCATAGGGTGAAAGAAACTCTGCCCACGACACAATGTAGCTGTGTATGTATGTATGTATTCATTTCATCTTTTCATGAATAAGTAGAATAAAAATCGTGGTATGACAAAAATAATAAATAATACGAATGATAACAATAATATATCATAATTATTTAATAATATATATAAATGCAGAAAAAATCACACTGAAATTTTTTCAGACCGAACGCAACGAACCAGCTGGAAAAAAAAGGGTCGAGAAGACTCTCCAGCTTCGCTACTCTGAATGATTCTGACGTGTTGAGCGGGGCCAGAATAGTGAGGCCTCGACTTTGGTTCGATGGTCTTGAGGGAAATCCTAAGAGACCGTTCCCTTCCACTAGCTGGAGCGCCAATAAGTGATCATTTCCTTTGAAATTTTAATCCGGCTCGAAGGATCTTTTCTGACTGGGCAGGGAGGGATCAAAGGATTCTTGGCGTCGACGTGAGCCCGTTGTTCATTAATGACGATATTCTTGGAGTCGTCGTATATGTCAGTCGTTGTTATATTACTCACAGTCGTTACTGTCGTTTCTTAATTACTCAGTCGCTGGTGTAGTATTACTCGGGCACTGCTCTCATCGTTGTATTGTATACAATCATTGCTGTTGTCGAATGCCTTAAATTATAGTCTTAAGAGCTGCATTTGTCAGTGTGTAGCAGTCATTATGGTTGTCACCATGTTGTTGTCGCTTCTAACATTAACCCTTGTCGTACCTTTTCCTGTAGGCGTTCTCCAGTGTCGTTGTGCTATATGGTGTAATCCTCATTTGTTCCCGTGTTGCTACAGTTTGGTGGGAGGGCTTTCGCGCTATCATATATACATATATATATGTATATAATACATATATACATTTTAGTATAAATTTATACATTATTTTAATTATTTTAGTTATTGGAAATGCAAAATAGTAAAGCTATAACCAGAATGTGTGGCTGCTATAGCAGGTGAGCAACGTAGCTCCATATAGCACCTCTTGTGTCCTGTTATCTTAAGAAAACACCATCTTCTTGGGTTTAAATCCACAACGCCTTTGGTGTTGGTGGATAGTGTTGTCGATTTGAAGGCAACTATGTCTCCTGACCCAGCCCTAACCATGCCTCCTGACCCAGCCCTAACCATGCCTCCTGGCCCAGCCCTAACCATGCCTCCTGACCCAGCCCTAACCATGCCTCCTGACCCAGCCCTAACCATGCCTCCTGACCCAGCCCTAACCATGCCTCCTGACCCAGCCCTAACCATGCCTCCTGACCCAGCCCTAACCATGCCTCCTGACCCAGCCCTAACCATGCCTCCTGGCCCAGCCCTAACCATGCCTCCTGGCCCAGCCCTAACCTTGCCTCCTGGCCCAGCCCTAACCTTGCCTCCTGACCCAGCCCTAACCTTGCCTCCTGACCCAGCCCTAACCATGCCTCCTGACCCAGCCCTAACCATGCCTCCTGGCCCAGCCCTAACCATGCCTCCTGACCCAGCCCTAACCTTGCCTCCTGACCCAGCCCTAACCATGCCTCCTGACCCAGCCCTAACCTTGCCTCCTGACCCAGCCCTAACCATGCCTCCTGGCCCAGCCCTAACCTTGCCTCCTGACCCAGCCCTAACCATGCCTCCTGACCCAGCCCTAACCATGCCTCCTGGCCCAGCCCTAACCTTGCCTCCTGGCCCAGCCCTAACCATGCCTCCTGACCCAGCCCTAACCATGCCTCCTGGCCCAGCCCTAACCTTGCCTCCTGACCCAGCCCTAACCGTGACTCTCACAGTGGTGATGTAGATACGAAAGGCTGTGATTTGGTACTAGTTTTGTTACGTTTTGAGAGGGGGAGAGAAGGGGAGAGAGAGAGAGAAAGCAATAGGGAGGAAGTCAAGAGAGAGTGGGAGAGAGAGAGTGGGAGAGAGAGAGTGGGAGAGAGAGAGTGGGAGAGAGAGAGTGGGAGAGAGAGAGTGGGAGAGAGAGAGTGGGAGAGAGAGAGTGGGAGAGAGAGAGTGGGAGAGAGAGAGTGGGAGAGAGAGAGTGGGAGAGAGAGAGTGGGAGAGAGAAAGTGGGAGAGAGACCCATTATAATATTAAGATATGGGGCCACATATTACGTCTCCCAGCAGCGTCACGACACTCAGTGTGCGTGAAATTATCAGGTGGAGGTCAACCTTACTGTCTGGGCGAGGCAGCGAAGGGCGGGGGTCGTCGGGGGCCGCGAAGGGCGGGGGTCGTCGGGGGCCGCGAAGGGCGGGGGTCGTCGGGGGCCGCGAAGGGCGGGGGTCGTCGGGGGCCGCGAAGGGCGGGGGTCGTCGGGGGCCGCGAAGGGCGGGGGTCGTCGGGGGCCGCGAAGGGCGGGGGTCGTCGGGGGCCGCGAAGGGCGGTGGTCGTCGGGGGCCGCGAAGGGCGTGGGTCGTCGGGGGCCGCGAAGGGCGGGGGTCGTCGGGGGCCGCAAAGGGCGGGGGTCGTCGGGTACGAGTGCTTCGTCTCCGGCCTCCATACACTTCTCTGAAGGAGAGGAGGAGGAGGAGGGAGATCTTCCTCTTTGACCTCCTCATATTTGTGTGAGGTAAAGGGACATCTCTCTTCACTTCAGTTCCTCGCTTGTTCGCATTCGTATTAGATTTATTTGTTTCCTTTGCATGTTAGCAAGCACAGCTATTTGTTCATTTGTACCAATGCATAACCAACTTGTCTCTACTCTTTTAAACAAATAAATAATTTGACTTCATCCGGGCTGTGACCAGGTGAATATCCCCTGACTGCTGAAGAATAAAGTCTGAAACATATTTCTTAGCTGAAAGTCAGAAAGAGGAGCAGCTTAGAGAAGGCGGACGACACTACAAGAGAAGGAAAAGAATAACAGAAATGCTTAAATAAACAGGACTCTCCCTACAAAGAAATAATAATTTAAACGGAGATTTTTGGAGAAGTACAGCAGAAACTGAAGCTATCATCAGGTTCGAGAAATTTAAATTAGAACAGAAAGCCACAAAGAGAGAAAGAACAATCCAAAATATTCATATATGCCGGTCCGGTCGACCTGGGGAGCCGGTCGGCCAAGCGGACAGCACACTGGACTTATGATCCTGTGGTCCCGGGTTCGATCCCGGGCGCCGGCGAGAAACAATGGGCACAGTTTCTTTCACCCTATGCCCCTGTTACCTAGCAGTAAAATAGGTACCTGGGTGTTAGTCAGCTGTCACGGGCTGCTTCCTGGGGGTGGAGGCCTGGTCGAAGACCGGGCCGCGGGGACACTAAAGCCCCGAAATCATCTCAAGATAACCTCTCAAGAACCTCTCTCAAGATGCCAAATATAAATAAAAAAAACTTTGCCAATATTGGACCTATACTGACAAGTGAAGGTTTATACACAGAGGACGACAAAGAAATTAATGAAATAAAAAAAACAGTTTGAGGCTATTTATAGCAGCCCCAATAAATAGCATAATATGGAAGATCCGGAGAACGTCTTTACAAATTATATCCAAACCCTGACTATTATTAACTATTATAACTATTATTTACACTTTGCACGTTTTTGAAAGATAAATTGGCAACATGCTCATGCACTTAGCCCCGGGTCCAGATTCATGGAATTTAATATTTATGTATAAAGAACTGCAGAGTGCCAGTAGCAGAGGCACTCAGTATAGTTTTTTTTTCTTTGGGGAGTAAAGAGGAAGAAGAGGCATAGGTGAAGGGAAGTTTAGAAGTGGGAAATACAGTGAGAGGTATGAAAGCAGGCGAGCTGTCCGCCTTGCTGACACGATGTGTGGGTGTTGGCAGCTAAGCTAAGCTGGCTCCCTCTTGTCAGGGAGCTGTGAGTGTGTGAGAGGTTCTTCACATGTGTTTCACCATATATGGATGTCCATAGATGAATACTGTGTAGCATTCATATATACACACCCCGATGCTTCCACACATGTTGTTTTGTTTAAGGCTCTTTATTTTATTATTATTATTTATCGAGTTGCTCATACATGCACATATATACATACATATACTCACACGCATATATATATATATATATATATATATATATATATATATATATATATATATATATATATGTGTGTGTGTGTGTGTGTGTGTGTATCACGAAAATAAACACGTGATTAAGAATGTGACAATGTCAGACCAGAAAATGAAACAGGAATTTCCTTAAGTACTTTCGTATATTAAATATCATTCCTTCTGAAGATGTATTTAGTATACGAAAGTACTTAAGGAAATTCCTGTTTCATTTTCCTCCGTGGTCTGACATTGTCATATATATATATATATATATATATATATATATATATATATATATATATATATATATATATATATATATATATATATATATACATGGATACATGGATACATACTCAGTATAGTGTGGAGAAAAAGTTTGGGCGTTGGGGAAATACCAGGAGCGATTAAGTCAGCAGATATAGCTCACCTTCACAAGGGAGGCAGCAAAGCATTGGCTAAAAATTATAGATCAGTCGCACTAACGTCGAACATAATAACAGTTTTTGAGAGAGTTATCAAGAGTCAGTTTTACGGAGAACAATGACCTCCACAACCCAGGCCAACATAAATTTAGAGCAGGAAGATCATGCTTTTCGCAGCTACTCGACCACTATGACAAATTCAGTGATGCATTAGGAGAAAATGCAAAGTACAGATATGGTATACACGGACTTTGCAAAGGTATTTGACAAATCTGACCATGGAATGATAGCCTAATAAACCATATCAGTTGGTATAACAGGTAAAGTAGGGTGATGGATATTCAGTTTTCTGTCAAATTAAATGCTAAGAGGACACACACACAAATAAAAAATAGAGTCCAAGGACAGTGAAGAGTTCTGTACCTAGGGGCTTGTATCATTGCTTTTCTTTATTCTCCTATCAGATACAGAAAACTACTAGTCACAGCTTCATTTCATATTTTATGTAAATGACGCAAAAATCAGCATGAAAATTACTTATGTAGAAGACATTGAAAAACAACAAGCTGTTATTAATAGTTTTCGATTGGGTAGCGGAAGAAAGCATGATATTTATCAGTGATAAAATCCAGGTCCTTATATATGGTAAAAAGGATCAATAAACATAATACAGGGTGCAAGACATAATCAAATCTGTCCATAGTAGGAAAGCAGCATGTAAAGGATTTGGGAATAATGATGTCTGACGACCTAACGTTTAGGGAGCATAACCAAGCAAATATTGCGTCAGCCAGAAAAATGATAGGATGGGTTTCAAGAACTTCGTAATCCTTCGTAAAAGAACTTCGTTCTGGTCTGAATAAGAGAACTTCAATTGTTACGAAGGACGAAGAGTTTGTGCAACGTTTCCTTTCAGTTGATGACTCTTTTTGCCTAGCAGTAAATAGTTATCCTGGGGGGGGGGGGTTAGTTAATGGCCTAGGAGGACCTTGATAAGGATAACAAGCTTTTTTCTTCAATACTGAGGAACCCTACACACACACACACACACACACATGGGGAATGCACTTGGGGAACAGGTTGTGGAAGCAAATACTATTCATACTTTTAAAACTAGGTATGATAGGGAAATGGGACAGGAGTCATTGCTGTAAACAACCGATAGCTGGAAAGGCGGGATCCAAGAGTCAATGCTCGATCCTGCAAGCACATATAGGTGAGTACATATAGGTGAGTACACACACACACACACACACACACACACACACACACACACACACACACACACACACACACACACACACACGGGGCCTCGCGGGTGAGTGGACAGCATTTGGGGGCCCTGGGGTTCGATTCCCGGCCGAGGCGGAAACAAATGGGCAGTTTCTTTCACCTTAATGCTCCTGTTCACCTAGCAGTAAATAGGTACCTGGGAGTTTAGCAGCTGCTACGGGCTGCTTCCTGGGTGTGGGTGTGTGCCCGTGTGTGTTAGAAATATATGTAATAGATGTAGCAGAAGAAAAATAGATTGGTTAGAAAGGCGGGGTCCAAGAGCTAGTAGCTCGATTCTGCATACACAAATAGTAAATACGCACGTACGTACGTTACATTAACGTGGTCCAGTGGTTTAAGGCGCGTGCATGAGAGTACTCAGTATGCAGTCAGTGATGTTACCATTCACATGCAGTAAGGCTCGTGGACCTGATAGGCGCTTCAAAACCCCTTACTGGCATGTTCCCTGACGTGCTAGCTTCTGGTTTAATTAAAACAATTATTCATAAAAACAATTATTCATAAAAACAATTATTCATAAAAACAATTATTCATAAAAACAATTATTCATAAAAACAATTATTCATAAAAACAATTATTCATAAAAATTATTCATTCATTTATTATTCACTTGTATAATTCATGAAATGGAGAAATAACATAATTAAAGAAAACCTAAACTAACATTTGATCACTAATGACGAAATTTAATCAAGACCTATAATTGTCACATTTATAATACCAAACAAATCAATCAACCTGACTTCAGCAGCTGACACATGCAGGCCCCCCAAAACCAACCACTCCATTGACGGAGTTGCTCCCTGCATGAACTAGGGAGAGGCGCTCTTACACAATGTCGCCAACCTATCATATACACACAGCCCCCGCTCCTGTGCCAGCTAAATCCACTACGGGCTCACCATAGCCCGTGCTGATCGGAACATTTTGTTCAGAGAAGCTCAATCTGAAACAACTACTGCTATCGTATTATAGAATCCTCCCTAGACTCTGGTGACAACCACTGCCATACTCTTTTAAAATGAGTACTAAGTACATTAAATATATCTAGAGATAATGTACTGATATAATGATACTTCGTGACAAAATAATATACATTAAATTGAAAGATGATACAGTTGGTACATCTGCCTCTCACGCGATACAGCCCCAACACCTGTAGCCCCCACCACCGTCCAACACCTGTGACCACCACCATAGTCCAACACCTGTGACCCCACCACCGTCCAACACCTGTGACCACCACCATCGTCCAACACCTGTGACCCCCCACCACCGTCCAACACCTGTGACCCCCCACCACCGTCCAACACCTGTGACCCCTCACCACCGTCCAACACCTGTGACCCCTCACCACCGTCCAACACCAGTGACCCCCCACCACCGTCCAACACCTGTGACCCCCCACCACCGTCCAACACCTGTGACCCCCCACCACCGTCCAACACCTGTGACCCCCCACCACCGTCCAACACCTGTGACCCCCCCACCACCGTCCAACACCTGTGACCCCCACCACCGTCCAACACCTGTGACCCACCACCGTCCAACACCTGTGACCCCCTCACCACCGTCCAACACCTGTGACCCCCCACCACCGTCCAACACCTGTGACCCCCCACCACCGTCCAACACCTGTGACCCCCACCACCGAAAACATCAGTAGTTTCAAAGCATTATACGACAAAGAGTGCTGGGAAGACGGGACGCCACGAGCGTAGCTCTCATCCTGTAACTACACCTAGGTAATTACATATATACCATTGCACTAGCTAGGATCATAGAGAATTCGAACTCTGGCCTGAAATAGGTACCTGGGAGTT